TCTTATTATTCTGGTGAAAGAGGCAGAAAGTCAGAAGAAAAACGTTATATTTGAAAGGTTTTTTTTCTCATTCCAGCAGTCCACAGCTGTCCTCTCTGGGATTAGATATCATTTTCCTTTCGTCTCTTTCGCAGGCTCGGGGTCTGGATCTGTCCCGGGTTCGAGCCTGCGTGGTGGTGGCAGAGGAGAGGCCCAGGATGGCGCTCACACTCTCTTTCTCTAAGCTCTTCAAAGACCTCGGCCTTCACCCGCGCTCTGTCAGCACAGCCTTCGGCTGCAGAGTCAACCTGGCCATTTGCCTGCAGGTAAAAAGCAAACCAGCTGCTCCTGCAGACTATTCTGTACGTGCAGTTGTCACAAGAACTTGGTAGAGTTCAGACGGAGCTTTGCACTCAACGGTTTTATCCTTCTAAGTATTCTTTTTTATCAGTGGGTTAGGGATGTTCCTGCTCACTGATTTCTAGTCCCTAAGTAGGAAAACTTGGACAAGGTTAAACTTTGTCTAAAGAAATACTTGAAACTGTTAATCAGATGGTTTGACAATAAAAATCATATTTTCTAAGCCACTGAAAGCTGTTACATTGCACATACGCAGTGTCAGGTTAGATTACCAAATGCACCGAGGAAGAGCAATGCACACAAGTGGCCGTATTTCTGATTTGCATGGAAATCGTGCACATTTATTATCCCCAAAGTCGGTCTGTCTTAAAGTGGAGCCGAGATTCATACAGACAGTGGTTAATGGATATTAATTGTAAGACTTCCTCCTATGTGCACTGGTTATCAGGAGATCTTCAGACAGACTACCTTATAGTAAGAAATGATAAAACAAAAGCCCAATCATGACAAACTTACTTTGTGAAAGTCGCCAGGAAGTCGTCCAATCTAGCGCTCCCATCGTCATTGTTTGGGAGCTTTTCTCATGATATCCTTGCATGTGAAAGCAAAACTAAATTGAAAAATTGTAATCATAAATCAGTAGATTTAACCCAGTTAGTGACCTAATCTTCCTCATCTTTATAGTTTCCTTTTGAAATTTCCTGGATTTGCTTCCTCTGTATAGTCGCATAATGGAATCAGTTTGTACTTCCGTTCCTGTGCCTCCCCCTCCCTCCTCTTGTGTCGGCACCGAACCCTTTGTTTTGGCACCACAGTGGCTCATGTGTAGTGCTGTTGTCTGACCCAGGAGGGTCCTGGTTTTAAGCCCAGGTCAGGTCTGGGCTCCTCTGTTGGACTTCAACAGGTTTCCTGAATCCTGCGACTATTAATAATCCTCATATGAGGATTAGTTAAACGTAGAGAGCAAATATCCCCACAATATCCCACTTAGCTTCACTTCTTCTTAGCATCTTTAACCAAAAATAGTATTTTTTAGCTGCTTCTCTCCCATTTAAATTGTTCACCCACTGTACAGTCAGCTCGTCGCTCCAGTGAAACGCTGTCGGAGAGTTTGGGAAACTAAATCTTTCTGATCACTTGTTCTGTGATTGGCTGCAGGGCACTTCAGGGCCGGACCCCACTACTGTGTACGTAGACATGAGAGCGCTGCGTCACGACAGGTACGGTAACCTGTCAGTAAGTCCCGTCAGCCGTCTTCCTCTCACTTTACTGTAAAAAGTTTTGACGATAGCACATTTGTTCCAGGGTTCGATTAGTGGAGCGAGGTTCTCCTCACAGTCTCCCCTTGATGGAGTCTGGCAAGGTGAGTGCATTAA